CCCCAAAACCCCAAAACCCCAAAACCCCAAAACCCCTATAATTTTAAGGAAATATTCTTTATTAATTTCGGCCATGATGTCTACATTACAACCCCTTAGGGCTGATATCAGCGTCAGCAGCGTTGGCTCCGACTATTTTGGGCTTGGTGATAACCGAGAAGAGGTAAAAGACGTCCTGGCTGTTTCTAAAGAGCTTTATTATAGGCAGAGAAAATAATCGACCAAATGAAAGCAGACCAACAATACTTTCATATCAGTAAGCGATCTTTATTTTGTCCATAATTTACTAATCTCTGTGGCTTATAGATTTTGAACAATTTAAGGATGAAATCAACAAAGAAGAGACTCCTTTATACGACCTCGCCAATGATGCCACAGTCGATCGGACAATTATCAGAAGGTTGATAATCCGTGAAGAGAACTACGGGAAATGGACAAATGTTGCAGAATTCTTGCTAGGTATCCCAACCCTTTCAAAATTATAGAACGAAATAAAAGTTTGATTTCAACTCTTGAAGTCTCATCAAAGCAGCTAGCCAGAACAAAGGAAAATTACTCTCGACTCACTGAAGAGGTTGAGTACTTAGACGATTTGCTTAAAAGAAGCGACAAAAAGATCGAAGAAATGCAAGAATATGTAAGAGAATATGAAGAAAAAATCACTGAACTTGAATCAGACCTTTGCGATAAGCAAGATATAATAAACCAATTTCATCTAGCACCAAATTTTTCGAGGCTCCTTGATTTCTCTTGTGAGGATAACATAATCCTCTCTGATGATCCAATTTATAAAACCTTAGACTTAGATTGCGATACTAACGAGCTTGATTGCAGTCAGAATGAATACAATAGGTTTTCTTCATACGGAGGTGGTCCAGAATACAATCTAAAGCTAGTTAACCTACTCGAGAAACACAAGAAAGAAAATAATGAGCTAAGGCAAAGTATGGATCATACCACAGAAGAACTCAACTCTTTCCAAGAAAAAGAGAAGGAAGACAAGGAAAAGATCGAAGACCTTGAAAAAGATATCGATATCTTAAAGGCACACTTGATTGTCCTCGAGAAAGAGAAAATGAACAGTGAGAAATAAGTGCAAGAATTTGAACTTTAAAATTCAAGAGTTTAAGAATGAAGTTAAAACCTACAGAGATAACTGCCACGACTTAGACCAAGCTAATACCATATTAAAACGGAATTGCTCAGCTTTAAGCAGAGAAAATGATATTTTGAATACCCAAATTTAAAAATATCGAATATCTGAATAAAAAATATGAAGACCAGAATCCAAATTTGGATCTCTCTATACTCTCTTTCAATTTGTAAGCCAAACTTAATAGATTTATAGCTCACAAAACCAAGTAAGTCCATCAGATGTTCTGAGAAAGAGCAAAAGGAGTAACCAGACTAAGAATCAGCTATGGAGCAAGCAGCCTACTCAAAAAGAGAATAATCTAGGTGCTCATAGAAGATGAGTGAGTCAAAGCAATCAGTTACCATCAAGACTAAACAAGCTTAATATTGAGCCAGTTTCTCCAGAGAAGCAGAATGTTTTTCCAGCTAGCCGAAAAAGGCTTAAAAATTACAGCTCGAGAGATCTTATCAATAAATGGAATGGTAAGTACAAATTCCTTCTTCCCAAATTTTGACTAGCATAAAAGTTTTGCCATTTGATTTGGCTTGAATCCTGAAACTATTCCATTATATAACTCATTGTTCAGGAATGAAATCTGCAGCAGATGAAGAACCAGATTGAGATGTTTTACATGAGAAAAACAATGTTGTTGGAGAGATCAGTGAGAGTTTAAACTTTCCTCAACCGTTGAGTGATATTGAAAACCCTTTCTTCACAAACAACAAGAATCCTGAAGACCAGCAATATTCTGACTTAAGTGCACTAAATGTTGATGAAAATCAATTTATTAAAGAAGAAGGGGTATGTGGAGATGTAATGGAAGACAATGACTCTTTATTTTCAAAGTCAAGCCTTACTCTCATTACAGCTAATTCTCAAATGTCCCAGAACAACAAAGAATCTCCCAAGAATATCTCTGGAACCGTAACTAAGAGTAACCTATCGCTTTTCAAAAATCCGAGAGAGAAAGCTTTATATCTCGAAGGTATTGAGACAATTTTAGAAGATAATGAGAATTCCAGTTCTATTAACAATTTCTCAAGAGAAAATTCATTAAATTTTACAAAAGCTGTCTCGATGAATGAACTTTTCAACTCCGATCAGAAAAGAGAGTCATCTATTATAGATGAGAAAGGATCAATGGAGGAGTCCATTTATCCTTCGTCTGACGAAGATAGCAGATTAGCTCATCTTGAGGAGAAAAAAGATCCTTTTTCTGAAGCCCAAATTCAGCAAAAATTTTCATTAAATATTCTGATGCCTGAAGATCCTAAAGATGACAATATTATTGACCTCAACCCTTGAGGAGGCTCTTTTTATTCAAAAAATTCAGACGCAGACGATTTTAAAGATGAGGTAGGAAGTTTATTTTGCGATCCTCCTGAAACTTCTCTTCCAAATAAAAGAATTGAGCCTTCAGAGAATCTTCTTGCAAGAAAAAGCTTTAGCACAAAGGTAAGTTAATGAAATAATATAGTAGGAAATAAGCAAGATTCTTCCAAACCCGAACCTTTTATGAATTCCTAATACTGCAAAAGATGAGTCTCAGCACAAATCTCCAAATTGGCAGTTTCCTCCACATCCAGCTAGAAAAACTTTGTTGTCTAACTCTGAAAAGATGTTTAATAAGGTAGCAAAAGGACATTTCAGGCAGGTTCAACGCACACATTCCAGAATGTTTCACTCAAGTAAAAGGATGCTTAATGATCAGCCTCCACATAAGACAAGATCTTTATTTGCCAATAATGTAAATATTTACCGGTTAACTTACAGACTCTGAAATCAGAAAGCTCGTACTCAGATGTTAGTGTAGCTAAGAATACCTTAAAGTCTATCCTAATGAAGAACAAGGTGGTTGACAATAAGCCATGAGTTCGATGCAGGGACAGAAAAGAGCCGATTGAGGAGTTCTTTAGTATATTAGTGATATCCCTCAAACTTGTTCATAAGGAGAAAGATCTGATTCTTGATTACCCTGTGAGTAAGATTTATCAGAAAGCTTTGAAAAAAAATATCCAATTTTATGAGTTTCCCAGCTTTATTGAGAAATTCCTTGATGAGTTAGCCATCAAAATAAATTATAAGCGATGTCAGAAGCTTCAGGTTCGGAAAAGAAGGAGGCTAAAACCTAGGAAGGCTTTGCTGAAGAGCAAGGATTACTGAAGCATCTATTCTAAAGTGGTTGTCCGGCCCAGTCCTGGGGATTTTGAAATAATCGACGACTTTTTCTAAAAATAGATCTGCTAATTTCAATAATAAATTACTTAAAAGGGGTTTTGGGGTTTTGGGGTTTTGGGGATGGGG